ACCTTTGTTCTAGAATCATTGCGTCACAGCGCCATGCCTCATCTCGCGATATTTTTTTTTTTTTTTTCTCCCAGAGCGAATAAATACAGCAGCTGTTGGTTCGTTCAGGTCATCCGGTGAAGAAAGTGACATTTGTGAGTTATCTGTCGCCTTTATTCGGTAAGGTTTTTTTTGTTAGTTTTTTTTAACGCTTTATTGAGAAACAACCCGTTTTCAGCTGTGGTATTTAAACAGATACCGGAATTACGGTTAATAAACGCTGTACTACGGAAGTAACTGCTTATTCCTATAATGGTCTTTGCTTTGTTTGCATTTCTTCAGAAGAAAAGTTGTTAAAGTCTAAATATGTGTTTTTGCAGATTTCTGAGAGCAGAAATGGCAGCAGCTGAAGTTATGCCAAATCAGGTGAGTTTGGTAAAGACTGTCGTGATTAATTACCCTTCCAACACAGGGTAATTAATACTTCAGGTTGGCATAAAATGAACACAAGGCTTTTTGGTCTGCAGCAGTGGTACCAGCAGAGATTGGTGCAAAACAGCGCATCGACATTCACTCTGTATCTCAAACATTGTGAAAAGAAACATCCTCATGTATTGCACACTAAAAATCTCACTCATTCAGTGTTAAGAAATTAATTTAAATTGTGTTTCTCTGCATTTGCTCACAGAGTGTGGTGGAGAGGGTAACCAGCCTCCCTCTGGTGAGCTCCACCTACAGCCTGGTGTTCAGTGTGTACTCAAACACCAAGGACAACCACCCTTATATCAGGAGTGTGTGCGAGGCTGCGGAGCAAGGGGTCCGCACCATCACCTCTGTGGCCCTCACCACGGCCTCCCCCATCATCGGCAAGCTGGAGCCTCAGAGTAAGACAGATTAGAGGACAAGTAACGCATAATGAAACCTTGAGGGTCATTATGTGCTGTTCTGCTGAGTCACGTCGCTGGAATTTGAAACAGGATGGTTAGCCCAGACTCCTGACTCTTAATCCAGTTGATCTTTCACCTCATTAAGAGGTTACATAAGTATTCACAACTCTAGAATTCTTCAGATTTCATATTCAATTTGGATTTTGTTTTGATGAAACAAGATAAAGTGATAAAGATTCAAGTGTTTTTCCAGGATTGGACAGGACTTAGTTGCACCCATTTTTCTTTTTCACAACAGAAGAAATAAAGCATCCCCGCAGCATGATGCAGCCACAACCATGTTTAGCATTATTGGGGATTGGTGCAGTGTTATTTATTCTCCCCATCAAACCTTTTGGGTTTTGGATGTGTTAACTATTTAGATAAGTAGTTGCACTGGGTTTTATTTTGGCATATCAAAGTAAACTGGACTAAAATACAATGGAAGCTATGTAACTTTTTGCTTCCATTATGCACTGATTTGTGTTGGTCTATAGTAGAATCCCACTAAAACACATTCAAATCTCTGGTTATAAAGTAGAAAGTGTGAAAAAGTTTAAGGGATGCTCAGGTTATCTCGACGTTTTTTGCTTCAGAAAGTCTCACGATAAATTTTCTCTTTTGCTCCATCTACAGTTGCCATTGCCAATGACCTGGCCTGCAAAGGTTTGGACAAGATTGAGAAAACTCTGCCAATCCTCCACCAGCCCTCTGACCAGGTATGGCAACAAGCCCAGTTGCACAACACTGATGTGAGCTAATCTCCCCAAAAAAAAAGCATTGATCATGTTGACCCATGCCTTTTCTTCCACGACCTTCCACTTTTGGCTTCAATCATTTAAAAAAATTCCCCTCTCTCTCCTTTTCCCCCAGATTGTTTCCAGCGCCAAGGATGTCGTAACCACCGCTAAGGATGTTATGACGGGAAACGTGTCTGGAGCCAAGGGCACCGTCTCTGACACACTGAGCACCGTGGTGGAAAAGACCCGGGGCGCGGTCCAGGACGGGATGGAGAGGACCAAGGCTGCCGTCAGCGGGAGTGTGAGCACAGTGCTGGATAGCAGAGTGGTGCGGCTGGTCAGCAGCGGAGTGGACACGGCCCTCACTACGTCCGAGAGCCTGGTGGAGCAGTATCTGCCTCTGTCAGAGGAGGAGCTTGGTGAGTGGAAGTTATTGGGTAAATGCTTGGAAAACAACATCCAGACACCTTTATTGATTTATGTTTTGTCACGTTGCAACCAAAAGCCTCCATCTTATTGGGATTTTATGTGATGGGCCAGCATGTCAAGTAGTTATGAAGGGGAAAGAAAATTGCAATGTGTGCTTGAGATGTAAATCAGATGCTCCCATTTGTTATACTGTCAAAAAAAATGCCTTGTTGCCATAGTTACGCATCATAACTGTTCAAAAGTAAAAAAAAAAAAAAACAGAGACCAAAAATCCTTCCAGCTGCACAGGATCCAAACCCAGAGTGAATAAATGTCCAAACATGTGACGCCTCAACCAAAAAAAAAAAAAAAAAGTTCTAAAGTCTATAAAAAGAACAAGCAAATCAGAGCTAATGTAACAGAGTAGCATGCTGAAGTAGCATGCTGCCACCATGAGCAATACAGTTCCAACATTGTAAACAACTAAAAAAAAAATATCTAGCAGTTACATAAAGCTGCATCATGGGCCTGAATTTGGTTCCCAGAAAACCAGGCTTATCAGATAAATGCTAATGTGCATTAGCTGCTTTTTCCCTCCACCAGCAACACAATGAGGAGTTGTTCAGAGTGACACTCTGGTACAGCTCAGGCTTCCTAATACTCATTTATTACTTTCATGGCTAAAAACGTTGCATATGCAGTGGCTTGTGGCACCTAAATATAGTGTGTTTTTGTTTCCCCTCGCCTCGTGACAGAGCTGGAGGCTAAAGCCGCGAAAGGCTTGGAAAATAAAGAGAGTTACTACGTCCGCCTGGGCTGCCTGTCCACCAAGCTGAGGAAGAGAGCGTACACCAGGGCCGTGGCCAGGATACAGGAGGGCAAGGAGCGCAGCATGGGGTTCATCTCCGAGCTCAACTCCACTGTTGACCTGGTGAGACTTTAACACTTAATGCTACGAGAATCGATGTAAATTATTCCCGTAAAGTGTGAAAAAAATCCCGATTCTAAGATTAAATCTTTCCTCTCTCTAGATGGAATACGGCAGAAAGAACATCAACAATGCTAACCAGATGGTGAACGACAAGCTGAACGCATTGGTCCCGAGGAAATCCGGCAGTCCGACCAAGGAGAATGGTCACCATGCGGAGGTAATTCACACAGGAAGCCAACCAATTAGGATCCCCGTGTTGATTTGAACAAATTTCTCTCAGATTAACCAAATCCAGCCAGGTGGCTAACAGTTGGAGCCTTGAGGAAGAACACATTTATCCTGCTTGGCTTCTCACCACATTAGGACTTCATGTAAAAGCTTTACGGATAATTAATGAAACTCTCAGCGTCCTGGCCGCGTCTTACATGAAACCACTTATTATGCTGCGCAGGAGCTTTGGTTGCATCATGAGGGTTTACTAGTCGTTCCAGGAGGATTTAGGTCCAGAACAGGAGGCAGAGCCAACTCGCTCAGAGCCTTTAAATCTAGCATGATGGGAAAGGCTTACGTTTAATTAAAGCCACTAAAATTTATTGCCACACCCTCGTAAAGACATGTGAAAATATAAATTACTCTTTTATTGGAGTAACATGATCTAACTGGGAAAATAACATTTAGTGAGATTCAAAGAAAAGTAAAAAGAATGGATTTTTGCAGTTAAAATTATTTTAGGGCTAAAACACATTTCTGCCTCAGATGTTAACTGCTTCTGCTGCTGAAGCAGTTTTTTCTTCATACCAGGTTAATGACTGGTTCTCATATGCTAGTTATACATTTTCCAAATATGTGTTGTAGGTTTTACTTCAAGGCAGTTATTATAAAACTGATAAAAGACCAAACCAAAAATGTTTATTTTAAATCATGTTCTCGCTGCAGGTGATCGAGTCTCGGACCTTGGCCCTCGCTCGTTCCCTCACCCAGCAGCTGCAGACCACCTGCCTCGTTCTGGTCTCTGGCCTGAAGGGACTCCCCAACCACATCCAGCAGGAGGCGCTGTCCCTCAGCCATTCGACAGCACAGATGTACAACGGTTTCAGCCGAGCCAAGGTGCTGGGAGAGCTGCCGGACAGCGTGCTAACCAGCACCAGGGTCCAGCTGGGCAAGATGAAGGAGTCCCTGGACAACGTCATGGATTACCTGGTCAACAACACGCCGCTCAACTGGCTGGTCGGTCCTTTCTACCCGAGGATGAGCATCCACAACGAGTCGTCCGCAGCCGGCAGCGAACAACCAGAGAACAAAAACTCCCCGTTCACTGAGCCGCAAACTGAGGAGCCTGTGGAGGTGGAGTCACTTCATTCCCAACAACAGTTCACTCCAGATTCAGACAGCTGAAGTCATTTCACTACAAAGTCCTTAATTAGCGCTAAATGCTTGACGTCTGAGTACAGAGGTTAAGCAAACTACACTATTGCTTTTTTATTGCAAAAGTTTCCCTGTGATCTTTTTTTCCCCCTCGCATAAATGTCTTTATTTTCCAAGCCTTTGGATTTAACTTGACTAATGCTAATCTGTTTAAGCCTTCAGAAAATAAACTGGAACTATAAACTTCTGATTTTCCACTCGTCATTTTAAAACTTTTAATCCTATGCCAGTGAAACTGAACATTTAAACAAATAGTCGTATATCTGACCAATAAGTTGTATTACGTCACTTATAAGGGGACGTCACTCAGATTTCATCGATACAAGAGAGCCTGCAGGTTTAGATGCAGCTGACCATCCCTGCAGCATGACATTACCACTACCTTGCATTATTACACAAATATACAGAAAAAAAAAATCTGACATTTAGTTCATTTCACGTTCAAAAATGCAGCACAGCTTTTATGCAGCCCATTTCTGCCCACAATGTCCCCAGTCAGCCCATTTGAAAACAAAGATTTTCATAATTACTAGCTGTCCGTTTTTAAAAGACCTTGCAGGACATTTAGGAGAAAGAAAGATTTCACAATCGTACGGTATCACCAGTAAACTTTATTAGATAAAAAAGCAAACTATGACATTTATATTTCTTAATATTACACATTATAGTCGACTGTGCAGACGGCAGATTAAAAAAAAAAAAAAAGTCAAGCCCAGCAGGCTGGTCCAGGTCAAATATCACTGAATGTGACTGTGCTGTGCTAAATACTCCATCAGACTCTGAAATTCCCAAATCCAGGAAGAATGAATGATTACTACTATTGCACAAGGTTTCAATTCACTCAATGTGGAAATGCTGTAAATCATAAAGAGCTCACCGTAAGCTTCTGAATCTGGCACCAAGCCACATCATCGAGCAACTCCAAGTTGATTTTCTCCTTTGTCTCTTCAGAAAACATCAACATCTAGAAAGAAGGAAAAACTTTACATGTTAAAAAAAATATTATTTAAATTCAAATTTCAAAAGAAAAGCATTTTAAACTATAATCTGAAACGGCATTAAACCTCTGACAATATGCAGGTTAAAAATAAATTTAAACATTTTAAAAACCAAAACTACTTTGGAGCTTCATGTCCCTCAGTTTATACCGAAATCGGCATGTTGAAGTAGCTCTGCTACATTAGTTCTGATTTGTTTCACTCAAGTTTTATCGATCCTTCCATTAATAGAAAGACTCAAAGCAACAAGTAGCCTGGATTCAGGTGCAACAAGATGTTAAGTTACACATATTTCTTCCTCTACAGCAGGAGTGTCAAACTCTTTTATTTCTGACCACATAAAGATCATGAACATACTCAAAGGGCAAAATTTATTGATAAAACTACCTCTTAAGCTGTTAAAATATGAATAAATAAGCGTCTCTGCATTCGACGAGTTCTTAAAGTTAAATAACTTCCTCTCATGTCAATTTAATTTGGCAGAATACAGATAAAGGCTGCTTTAATTTGATAAAATAATTTAGGTGCACAACTGAAGACTATTTGTGTCTGTTTAAGAGTCTAAAGGGCCACATAAAAAAACTTATGGTGGGCCAGATTTGGCCCCTGGGCCTTGAGTTTGACGCATGTGCTCTACAGCATTGTTTTCCAACCCTTATCTTCAAGGGCCCACTGTCCTAGATATCTCCCTGCTCCAGTATATCTGAGGCAAATGATTGCATCATCTCCTCCACAAAGGGGCCCATTAATCACCCATTTATCCAAGTGTGTGAAGTCAGAGAAACACAGAAAACATGAAGTAGGCGAGTCCCAGGATTGAGAAACACTGGTCTACAGCTGCAAGTAACAAGCATGCACTTTTACCTGTCCCTGCGCTGTCGTCACGGTGATGTAGGCTGCAGACCCTGCCACTGAACCGGACAGCTCACCAGCAGACAGAACCGACCTGTATGGATAAATAATCCTCAAGTTCCCAATAATCTCATTCTGACCGTTATTTGGTTGTAAAAACATTCACATCTTGGGCTTCTCTGTCTTACAGACCCATAACTTATTAACCATGCAGCACCGTCACCAGGAGAACCCAATAAAGCGGTGGCTCATCAGTGGTAGATTACTTTTCCTGCGGTATAGACAATAAGGACAGACCTGAGTTTAGGCGTTTTCTGTTTCTGTTCTGGCTGATCGGCAGTTTTGCGACTCGCCAGATGGCTCTGGGTTCGTTTGACCGTCGCAAGAGAAGCCCTGTAGGAAAAAGAAGCACATGCAACTCCTTGACCTTTGGTCTCAATCTGGTTTCAACAACCTCACAGACGTTCAGGTCTTACCTGAGGTTTCCAGCGCTGTTGCTGGTAGCTATAGTTCTATTTCTTTTTATGCCCGTTGTTTTCCCACCCTAAAAAACAAAAAACAGCAGTGAAAAAGAATGAAAATCCCATTTTGAATCATTGTTTTACATCAAACGATTCACGTGTCACCTTTGGATTCCTGGCAGAAGACCTCTGGACTGGGGTGGACAACACTGGCGGAGAATCGGTTGATTTTACTTTGAAAATGAAAAGCGCAAAAATCATAAAATGCCAGGCAAAATACAGCAGCTAGTGGAATATCAGATGCATGAAGAGAACAAGGAATTACGTGGTCCCCTGGGGACTCGCTTGAGGGGATGAGCCATTTCACGGGATTCATTCTGCAAAGAAGAAAAAAAAGGGGGGGATTTATTTATTTAATAAGTCTTTTTCCATGAAGCATAGAGGGAAGAAAGACTCACCTGAATGGCTATAGACACCTCACTGGCTGAAGGGTCCTCCTCTATCACAGAAGACAAAAATTGGAGGGAAAAAACCCCATAAAACAGCAATTTGCATGTATTTTTTTGCTACCAAAAAACAATCAAAATAAAGTCCTTGTCTTTTAAGTTTGGAGAATTGCAGGAATTTTAACAGGACTGTTCAGCTACATCAATTTCAAGTATATTTTTTTAATAAGATCAAGTGGAAAACATAACTGAAAGACTTACGGCTGATCAGATCCCCTACGAGAGTATTTTGAAGAGAAGGAGGCATTTTCATCAGCTCCACTTTAAACACTTTGTCAACTGTTGCCAGCAGACTGTCCAGTTTGGACTCCAAGTGCCTCATGCGGTCCTGTGCTAAAAAGGAATAAAAAAAAAAAAAAAATTAATTAAAAGTGATGTTCCAGCTTGGTGTTTAACACCTTTTTTTTTTTTTTTGCCATCTACCTTCTTTCTCAATCTGTTGGATAAAAAGTCCATGTTTATTTCGTCGCATTTCCCGACTCAACTGGTGCTTGTTCTCAGTATTTGCTTCAATTTTCGCCCGTCGTTGTGACATTTTGTCTCCGTTTCCTCTTAGAGTTAAAAAAGAAGAAGAAGAAGAAGAAGAAGAAGAAGAAACACCCGAAGCCAACGCCAGGAATACACACCTGTTACTCCAGTTGATTTAATTAAGGGGTGTGTCCAATTTCAAGAGCCGATTCGCCGCATCCTTCTTCAACCACGAAAACCGGAAGTCACCTCACCTCAAGTCCTGTTGCCTAGCAACTATAACAACGCTTAACCTAAAAAACAAAACGGCGCTGAAAATCTTACTTAGGTTTTTTTAATCACTACTCATTTAATTATTTTCAAATAATTACAGGAGTTAATTCTTTTTTATGTATGCAAAAGACTATCAACACAAATTTGCTTATTTTTTGTACCGACAGATTTTAATATTTAGGTGGCGTGAATAATTTGATGCAATAAGAACCTGTGGCTGGGGGGGGGGGGAATAGGAATACTATCACCATGTTTCGTTGTTCTATGCAAAACTCCTGTATGTTTTGTTTTCTGCTGCTTATTTTTAGACATAGCATTCATTTGACATCCAGGTTCAAAAATATTATGTCAGCTCCTCAGAAATTTCAGTGACACAAATGTTGTGCAGTTTATTTAATGTTTATATGGTATGTTGGAGAAGAAATCGCATTTTCTGCATAAGTATACTTATGCAGAAAATGCGATTGGAGAAGAAATCGTTAAAAAAAACGTTAGTACGTTAAAAAAACGTTAGTACCCTATACTAACGTTTTTTTTTGTTTGTTTGTTTTTTTTTTCGTAATTTCTACAATTTGCTTTGGCATATTTCATATTAACTATAGTCTAAATCTCATATAATGGTAATCCATTCCTCTCTTATTAAATCTGAATCCTGCAGGAAAATACACAGATTATTCCCAATCTGAGCTTTGATTGTTGGAAGAACTCCTTCTTGGAACACATCTGGATCCTCCAGACAACGCCGTGCTCTCTGGCAGGGGTTGTGAGCAAGCCAACTCTCTTGGATGAGAAGCAACCCCACACAAAGTGCATCAGGAGGCTTCGCTGTTGGCGCAACACACAACGTGGTTTTCCAGATGTTGCAAAAAAAAAAAAAAAAAAAAAAAAGTTAGGGAGGGGGGGGCTCTGAGAAAATAATTTAGCACCATTCTTCTGTATTAAGGCATTTATGGGGCAAATCGATTTATGCATTTTTGCTGGTCTCTTGAGAGAAATGCAACAGGAGTTGTGAAATTGGACCTTTTTCCCTGTTTTTCTCAAATACCTCAGACTGAGGCAATGAGAGGGCTGTGGAATTTCTGCTAACGGTTGTTTGCTGCTGTGCAGACGTCTTCAAAGTCGAGGTTTCTCTTTGTGCTGTAGCTGCAGGGTGACAGCTGCAGCTACCTTTGTGTGATTTCTCAGTTAAAGTTCTTAAAGAGAACTCAAAATATTCAAAAAGTAAATAAAATGTGACATTTTTAAAAAATGATTTTTTTTTAACAGAATTTAAGTTGGCTTTGTTTAGACATAAATGACCTCCGTTGCCCGTCTAGTCATGAGATTTTGTCTTATGTTCTTCCGCTTACTGAAGTGTTTATGTTTTAACCCTTTCCATGGTTCATTAGAAGAACCTTTGGAAAACTTTAACATGCTGTGGAGATAGTTGGACCATTTCAACCTGGTGTATTGAAAATTAGCAGAACACTGGACTTTGAGGACTGGAGATTTGTTTTCAATCCAGCTACAGAGAAAAGAAAACGGGATGAGTGGAAACGGAACTGCTGGAGTCTGTAGTCACTTCAAAATAAGAGCATGAATATAAAAGTTGACATGAAAAGTTTTTCTTTTTTTTCCTGTCCATAACCAAAGCTGCAACACAGATGATAAACTTTGCTCAACTGAAAGTTTACAAAACAGTCTAGCAAATTAGCGCTTCCTAATTAATCTGTAAGAAATAATTTATGGAAAGCCACATGCGCTAAATGTTTTCAAACAAAAATATTGGACAGATGGAGGGATAAATTAAAGAGGGAAGGATGGAAAGACTGATGCATAGATGAATCGCTTTGGGATCTTTTAATCAACAGCAAAAATATATAATATTTGTTGAAAAATTTGCAGGAAATGTATGTGTGAAAAATAAAGATTACATAAATAAAAAAAAGTAGGAACCATAGAATTGACCAAAACACGACTTTGTTTCCAATCAGTTCACAAATTCATTTATTGCAGCGCTTTTAAAGACAGACATTCATTTTATTTCCACAGGATGGTAAGAGATCACTTTCATTTGTTATTAAAAAAAAAAAAAAAAGTCTTCTCTGTACAACCAAGAAAAACTAATTTACATAGTCAGTACAGGATGGAACCCCTTAAAGATACATTTAAAGGGAACAGGATGCTGTTGGTTATAAAAATTATACATTACCAATCCGTCTGCAATCCAAATGTGAATAATACAAAAATAAATAATTGAGAATTTTTTTTTTTTTTTTTTGTTTGCTCTACGATGTGGCTTAATCTTATCGTCACAATGGGTTAAGTTCAGATCTCACTCTAATGCAGTGCAAATGGAATATTTTACACGATTTCTTCTGTACAGGTCAAGCTCCCAACTCGGATCTAAAAATAGTTCAATCTAAGGCCCCGTTTCCCAACAGGTCATCACAGCACTAATCTGATTTACCTCATGCTTCAGCATTCAGTGGAATGTCGCCTCAGAGACTCCTGGCAGAGCGTCAGCAGTAATCAACAAGTTCTGGTCTCCGCAGCTACTTTCAGAAAGGGGACCGGGCCGACTAAAATGACGTCCAGTCTGTGTGTGATAAGAGCGCCTGGCGGGAGGATTCGTCTCATCACGGCGCCAAACTTCAAACTACTTCATTTAAATGTGGCGTGATAGACCAGCAGAAAGGCGCGCATATATGTTAAGTAGAAGAAAAAGGATGCACAGCTGTAATTGAATACTAACGCAGCAATTTACAGAGTTTCATTAAAAAAAAAAAAAAAAAAAAAAAAAAAATTTTGAAAACCCATGCACCATTTTCCTTCCACTTCTCAATTATGGACTACTTTATGCAAATGTAAAAAGTACAAAGAGTGTGAAAACTTTTGAGATTCATTACATTTTTTTACTTTAGAAAGACGTGACGGCTTTATTTGATGCAGGAAAAAGAGAATGGCCCAACTACATATCAGCTCTACCACAATAAGGCCCGTTAGAGCAACTAGTGCAGCAAGTTCCTGTTGAAAAAAAAAGAGGCAGATATTAAAAGCAAACCGAGCTGCTGTTTAGCTTAGCTTGCGTTAGCATGGCTGTGTTGCTTGGGGATCAGTAGTGTGGCACTCCTGCGTTCAGGAGTCGGGTGTTGTTGCGGAGATCGGTACTGGTGAAAGACGAGCTCCCGGCTGCAGGGCGATCTGGAATGTTGTGAATCCGTTTTAGTGATTGACACTTAGTGATTGTCCGCAGCCTCGGTCACCGAAACAAACACGAGCTTGTATATTTACACTTCAACGTCTCCAGGATTCATTAAGACTTGGAAGGAACAAAAACAACAACAACAACAACAACAAAAAAAGGCAACTCTGGTTTCAGATTTCTCACTTGAATGAGAAATATGTACATACAGGTGGTGAAGCTCAGTATGTGTTATTGTCTGCTTTTAGAAAGTGCAAATACAGAACAGTCTGGTTCTGCACTCTGGGACGTATCCGTCTCGTCTGACCTGATCTGGGGGAACTTACAGGACAGAGGAAGTGACTGCGGCGCGGGCAGACAAAACATTCTGTTGGGTAACGAGTATTTCTGAACGCCACGTGTAAAGAAGAGCGGCTCACGTCGTCCCGGGAGGCAAAAAAAACAAACAAAAAACATTTCCAACCCGAAAGCAACGGCTTGAAAACAAAGAAAACAAAACAAAACAAAACAAAACAAAACAAAAAAGCAGCTTTAAAGTACCATGTTCAGCAAAGGGAGAGGCTTAAAAAGTTCACTGTTCCCCTCTGCCACAGATGACCAGTGAGATGCAACCGTCGTTCAGATGAAGGGGGCGCCAAAACATTTCAGACACGACTGGACGCTGGCGCTGGGCGGGCGGTCCATGCGGTGCAGAGACTTGAGCTGCTCCGGGCTCAGCTGGTCGTAGGCCTGCCGGTACTCCCTGTCGAAGGCCTCTGCAGGAGGCAAAGCAGCAAAATCAGAGAAGTTTCTTCAAAAGACCCCACCTTTGAGTCATGTACATTTTATTTTATTTTTTTGGAACGGGGAGAAAAAAATGCTATCAAATTATTTGAAATGAAAGGTATTCATCATTTTTTTTAATGAATCACTGCAACAATGGTCATGTGACCTACATGCTCCCTGTTGATCAACCAGGAATGTAATTATTTATATAAAAAGTATTATGTCAATGTAATTAGCGAAAACATTTTGGTACATTACTGAAAAGCTTCAATGTTATTACATTCAAAATGGCAAAATTATTAGACTATTGGCATGTACTGTGTTTTTGGTCATTATTAAATAAATCATACCATCATTTTTTCCCCCCTTATTAAATATACTCAAATCAAAAGTTGGGTTTTTCTAAAGAAAGGCTTTCAATGTCAGTTAAAAGCTACATCTGATATGATTCAGTTAACAGAAAGTAAAACTCATTAGTCCGTAGGCGTCACTCACCTATGTCAATGTTCTCGCGTCCCAAAGCCACCAGTGAGAGAAACAGAATTTCTCTATAAATGCTCCTGAGAGACATTCAGAGGAGAAAGTTAACGCATCAGGACACAAACAAGCCTTAAAACAGAAAAGCGACGAGGCTGACCTCTGCCGTTTGACGCCGTCTGGACGGCGTTTGATCTCCCGCAGGAGCAGGTTGATGGGACCGTAGACGTCGTTGGTCTGGATGTTTCTAACGACGGTGTTGAGGAGGGTCCGGATCTCCTGGTGATCTGTTGGCGCTAACGTCCCCTTTTTCTCCACTAGGAGCAACAAACAGGAAACAGACTCAGCTCTGACCTCTTCTGATCATGCAGGAAATTAAAGGTGAAATAGTTGTTTTTTTTTTTTATTTGTCTCTGAAAGGTCTTCATATTGGTGCCAATACCCAGTTAGAATTTCCTTGACGGTGTGAATTTAGATGGGACCTAAAATGCAAAAGTCACATTTTGCTCGTCTTTGCCTTCCGTTTGGGTCTTAAATGCGATGGGACAGCACCATCACCTAG